ACATACACACACATGTACACTCACTCAAACACACTTATCGGCTGGATTGAGTAGAAGCGAATCAGAAGTGAGTGCTGTGTGAATGTGGAGTGAGTGTAGTCAATGCCTCGCCAAGATTGAATTAGTTTGCATGCTAATTCCGTTTGCCAGAGTTGTTTGCGCACTCGAAGTACGGACGCGATGGTGTACTCCCTGGTTAATTTGATAATTGCCTAGCGATAAGCGCTGCAAGTATAAATGCGCCCTTGTATAAATTATCTAGAGTCCCAGCAACTGATCTTTGATATGGATAAATGTACTACTTAGCTAAATATTTGCTATTATTTGCTATGACCACAAATGAGAGAGTTTAGAGCTCTTTGGAATTGGACCTGCGCTCTGTAGCCAGGGGATAAGATGATTTAAATTGCACTCGAAAAGATTTAATGTTAAATGTGATTAAATAAATGGAAATATAACTATTGCTAATCAAATTGTCACCAAATAAGTGTAACTATACTAAATTCGAGTTAGTGCATAGTATCTGCTATTAGTTTCACTAGATTGTTGTGAATTAGTCGATTTTTGGCTCTGCGAAAATATTTTAACACTTCAATCCGCGCAGTGCTATATAGCTTGCTCTTTACTAGTTCTGTTCACATTTCAAGTGGACATGTGGCTCAAGCAGCAGCAACAGCCGCCAGAAGTGGACTCCAATCTAACCGCCTACTCATGTACCTCATACATGCCTGCCGGTCAGGACACTTTTTTTGCAGTCGCTGTGCTCGTGTATTTTTACATCGTGGGGCATTGATCAAGTGTCCCCTTGGAGCGGCTATTGCTGTAGCTGGACCTTAGTGCATATGCCACCACACTCTGCTTATAGCTGACCAACAATTGTCATACTCCATGTCATGGTAAAAATGGATAGGATGCCAGATCTGAGTCTCTCTATGATGCATTTGTAAAGTGTATTTTTAGCTGGTAGGAGCCGCCTGCCATCCACCCAGCCACACACCAAAATGTCAGCCTATGTATCTGAATGACCACGAGTACCTCAAAAGGCCTTTGAGATACAAATACATATGCATTGCGTGCATGACTGCCGCAACCAATGTGTCAACTAATTTAGTGTTCGGCTTTAATTGAGTTATTCCCATAGACACTGCTAAAGCATTGTGGCTGGGCCATTAACTCAATGCCCGGACAGACGCAGACAGCAGACAGTATTAACGAAAGTTACATAGACAGCATAAATTAATTAGATACACCATAAATTACTCATGTGCCAAAATCAGCTGATAAACACAATAACAGATACAGGACAGCCACAGACCATTGTTTGTTTGCTGGAGTACATTTTATTTCGCAGTTGATGAAGTGGAAAGTCTGGTGACAGCAAATAACTATTTAATTCCATTAGCAACTTTAATAGTAAAATAAGCGACAACTTTGTTTAAAATAACAATATATTTCTAAATACCAATCAGTGTTTTTAAGGAAAAAATTGAAACCAATTCGACTATGTAAAATAATAAATTAAATTATTAACTTTTTTGCTACACTTGTGATTGCCATTCTATATATTTATGAAGTAAAATGTACTGAGCATTGGAAAACCTTTTTCACTTCTGCTATAAAAAATAAAAAATGAAAAAATAAATGTGATCTCACAGAAATCACAGCGAAAAGAACTAAAAACAAATACAAAAGCGTTCTCAAATAGTGCGAGAAAAAGAAACGAAGTGACAAAAGCAAAATCAAAATTAAAGGCAACAAGAACTATAATTTCCTAAAGGACTTAATTATTTTATAATAAGCACGTAACACAAGCGAACTACAAGCAAAACGCAGCCCCAAAGGCAGGACACAGCAAGACGGGACTAGAAAAAGCTGTGGTCAACGGGCCACAGGAAGAGTAAAAGATGCCGCGTAAATTCAGCGCAAAAGTTGCTAGTGTTTTTCCACTCACAAATCGGACAGTATAGTATATGGAAGGGCATGGCAGAGCAGGACTTGAGTAAACGGAGACAGCATAAATTGTGAAAATATTGCAGTTTGCTTTTATCTCACTTCCCTGGCAAGTCCCACCTCACTCCTTTTATTTTTCCCTATTGTATTATTAATGCATTAATTACAGCAATAAATGAAGATTTGCAAAAGTTTCTTCAGATTTTGCAAAGACCTTGCCTAGTTAAGTTAGTTTACATTAAATAAATTAAAATGGTTTGAAAACAAAACCAGTAGTAAATATAAAATTGTACAGTAATGAAATTTCTTAAAAGGGTATTGACACAAAATACATTTTTATAATTAAAATCAAAAGTTTATATGCAATTCATATCAATTACTTTAATTGCATAAAAATCATTGAAGCCACTCCAAGCACTTTTCCTAATTTAATTTACCAAGCATTTGGGTAGCTCATTAATGTGATTTCTTTGAGCTCGGCCTATTCGACAGCCGATATATTTATGAGAGCCCAGTTGACCTTGTTCCAAATCACCATCTAAGCTGCGAGTAACTGAATTGATATTAGCACAAGGCACAACTTAAGCTCACTGTAGCAACAATAAGGTCTATGCGCTTAGGGCCATCAAATTAGATAAGCATGAAATGGCATTACGTATACGCACCATTGGACGATGCTGGCATGAAACAAACATTTAAACTCTTCAAAAACAATATAAATTCATTCAGCATTCAGCCAAACGATAGCCAAACTATAAGCATAAGCCATAAACTACATGCACAGGCCAAATGCAGACAGGCAACAGCAGCAACAATAAATAAATGCCCAACAATTGATACTTTGGCCAGAGGAACAGTCAGAAACGGCAAGGCCAACGAGAACAAATGCTTCTAGTTTATATATGGAGTAGGAGTAGGGGCGGCTTTCGACAGGCATAAAACAGAGCACAGAGCTAAATAGATAGTTAAATGCCTACACACACACTAAAGCATAAACACACACACGAAATAGCATTTGGGTGCTGATGGGAATCAATAGGAGGGTTGAAGAAAAGCATCAAATTCATTTGAATTGCAAAACAAACAGAGACCGAGGCACAGACATGAACTTAATCTTGTTGTAAATTTACATAATTTGACGTGTAGATAGGGTACAATAAAAAAGAGAGAAGTAGCTCTAGATGAAATATATGGTTAATATTATTTGTATATATTTCAATCAATTCGTTAGCTCGTCATAAAATCGACTTTGCTAAATTATTAGTAAGGGCTGAGAGGATTCAAAGATAAAAATAAGATAAGTCGTTCATACATGTGGGACTTTTAAAATGTTTCGAAAGAAGAACATCTCTTAGCTCTACTGACGATTAAAATTGTTTATTATATTTCATAATTTATAAACAAATAGCAATTGTGTGATAAAAGTGAATTAAACTATATTATCAATAAACAAAATCATAATTTTATTTCAACATTACATTTACACTATATTTAAATATTTATCCTTTCTGATAGTAGATTAAAAAAAATTGTTAAGTAATTATTTTGATTCACTCAGATTACCTCTATATACGCTAAGGTATAAAATGTAATTTTCTTAGAAATTCTTTGTATTCCCTGGTCGCCCCATTAACTTTCAATGCCTTAAGCAAAGTTTTTCTAATGAGCTACTGCAACTTGATTACCTCGGGGCACAATCCAAGGCTGTCGGCTCCCTTTTCCAGATATAATATGCTGAAATTACATTAGTGCGCATTGGCAGCTGAGTCAGGCTTTCTTTTATAGGTAGCTGTCAGCTATAATGAGCCTCAATTGCAGTTATTCGCGACTCGCATGAAACTATCAAGAGGTGAACCAGACGCAATATGCACTATGCATTCCCCAGTCTGTCACACATTATGACAATTTAATTGAAGGTTATGCGTGACGCAGTCAGCAGTTGGCATCGGACTAATAGACATGCCCATAACCATTCAGTTTTATAAGGTCAGATTGCGCGACAATCGTCAGTTGCATTTTAATATGATTATTCTGTAATAATATGTTTGATTATTACAACAAATTGCAGGGATCCTTAAATGGGGAGAGAAGCAGAGAAAGAATGAGAAATATTCTTTACCTTAACTTTAACTCGAGCTGTATCATTCTTTTAAAATTTCATTACAAATTTTATACATTTGTGCTGGTTATGTTTCACGTATCCCTTACAATTGTTTCTGAATGTTAAATAATATTTTTTAAGAATTTTTATAAAAAATTTAAATTTATGTATATATTTCTATATATAAAACTGTTTGTCCTGACTGACTGACTAACTGACTGACTGACTGACTGGTTGGTGATTAACGCACAACACAAACCGTAAGAGCTGGGAAGCCCAAGTTTTCACTGTAATTACCTTATGTGATAAAGGTGCACGTTATGACGGGGTTTCGAGAAATTCCACCCGCTAGTATGGAAAAATCGCGAAAAACGTTTCTATGCTACTTTTTTGTTTACCATCCGATCGGCCTCAAACTCAATTTAAAAGTTCTTTGTTCAAATTCATTTGAGGGATGCTTCGTACTTTTTGGAAAATCCATCCCTCCTTAGTGGAAATGGGGGTCAAAGACTTGGTGGGTGACGTTTCGCGCTAAAATTCATTTCTAAGTATTCATAAGAAAAATAATTAGAGTTTCAAAATCATTTTCAAAGCTTTTTGAGAACATTTATTTTATACGTGCCACGGGCAAGGCCGGGCTATACCCGCTAGTATATATATATGTATATATATGTATTTATATATTTTCTGAGAATAAGTGGACTTGACTCTAGAGAGTTAGTTAACTTTAAGGCTTGCGGTCTAATATATAAACTTACTGTCTTGAGCTGTAGCTAGTTAATGTTTGAACACTTGATAAGCCAAAATAAAAGAGCGCTGAGCTGTAGAGAAATTTAGTTAGCCTGCTTCTGGGCACCTTGCAAGTGTTTGCAGTTTAATGGAATTTTTAATTTTAGACCGCTTCCATTTTCAGCTCACGACATTAAAACACATTTTTTATTACAAAACATTAAAGATTCAAAAACTGACCCTTTTCCCTCCATCCAGCAGTTGCCTTGGCGCGCGCCTTGAGCCAGTCTAACAGAAGTTCCAGCAAAAACACCGTCGAGCTGACCAACATGGCCAGGACCAAAGTGAAGAGTGCGGGCGCAAAGTGTTTGAGGTCCACTTCCACCTCGGCATCCTTGAAGAGCGTGCAGTCGGGCCTGGGCACAGTCCACATTTTGTCATTGTAGCCAATCAGACCCGTTTCGCCCAAATAAAGCACCGCATGGTTCAGATGTTCGCGCCAGGGCGAGCTTTTGGGCAGCACTGAGGCGCCCAGATACGGCGGACTGAACATGATCTCCTGCAGCTCACAGAACAGGCGCTCGTCCAGCAGCTCATTGAGCAACCGGTACAAGCGATCGATGGCCGTGTGAAAGGCAAAGCCGCCATGCTTGATGCGCTTGGCGCCCTCCTCAATGGACAGGATATTGTGCTGGCGATCGCGGCAGATGCGCTTGCTATAGACATTGCGCACTAGCTGATTGGTAGTGTTGGTAAACAGCTCATAGTTGTAGGCAATATCCTCCATGCCGATCTCCAGAGTGCTCTCGTACAGCGCCTGTAGATTAACAATGCTGCGCGGTGTATCCGACAGCAAGGAGCCCACAATGAAGGCGCCATAGAACTGCATAAGCATGAAACTGAATATGCAACTTGCGCTGATCAGAATCTTGGTCGAAGGCAGCTGAAATTGACCCGTTGACGGTCCCTGCTGCAAGAACGTTTCCAGCATGGTGAACCAAACAAATGACATTTGCCGTTCCACTGGCTGCGCTAGGTGCTGCTGCTGCTGCTGCAGGCGTAGCTCCTGGCGTACGTGCAACAGCAGCAACATACCGCTGCCCACCACCAGCGCTAGGACGCACCACCAAACCTGTGTGCTCAGCGGCTCGAAGAAAATGTTGCGTATGCTGCTGTGGCGGGGATGGCGAAACAAAAAGTGTATCCTGCAACAGAGTAGAAATCGAAGTGGAAAAAGTCATGTATCAATTACACTTGACAACGAGGTATTCTTGCCCAAAAACGAATCAAAAAATATATATATATTATTTTACCATATATATAAGTTACACCCATATAAAACATTTAAAAAATTGTAAATATCACCTGGTATCTTACAATTTTTCCAATCTACTTTATGAGGTCCTCAAAATTTCCTCAAAACCAACTACTTAAGGTTTCTTATATTTAATTTTAATTTAATCAAACGTTAAATATAAAAATTTAAATGCTAATAACTTTGTCAAATAGTGTCAGATATCACAATTATAATTTGTAGCATTGAGCTTAGCGCAGTGTAATTGGTAAATTAGGGACTTACAGTTGCGTATGGAGCGCAGGCGTGTATTGTATATAGCGATGCCTTTCGGTTACAAATCTAATGGGGCATACAGCAAAGTGTACCTCGCCGCTTGTAACGTGGCCCATTACACCTGTCCAACTGCCATTTGGCAGCAGCTGCCCCCAAGTTTCCCGAAAGCGTACTTCCAAGCTGCAAGTAGTAGTAATGGTTAGCTCCAATGACTACCAAACTGTAGGACATTACCTCAGATTATACATACGCCCCATGAGCAGAAAGAGCTGAAATGTCTTGCGTTGCATAGGATCCAGTTGGAGCAGATCCTTATTGTTGCTCAAATAGCTCAGATCATCCATGCCAGCCGGCTTCTCGATCAACTGTGAATGAAAATTGAGTCTTCTAACTGTCTTTTGCTACGCACTTGCCACAACTTGCCGCCGTGCTGCCTATCAGCGTTATGTTGCCCAGGTTGCTGCGACGTCGCAGCCAGCTTCCACTAAAGTTATCCCAGAGCTTATAGCCAGCGGCCGGACTCCACTGGCCCTTGGGCTCCACGCGCAGTGGTGTATCCTGACCCACTCGGTAGACATCGTACAGCAACCTGCTCAGGCTAAACGCAGTTGTATGACAAATATTTCGCATATGGGAATCAGGTGTGGTTATAAAAATAAACTTTAATAATTAAATTATTGAGCATATTACTTTTTATAAGTATTTTATATTTTTTTATTTTTACTTTTTTATGTAAGTTATTTTTTAATTGCTTAAAAATGTAATGGGGGAAGTTAATTAACTATCTAACGATTTTTTAATGTTTTATCCTCCCTTTATTTGCCGTACTTTATAAAAATTTATGTTTTTTTAATGTTTTTGTTATTGGTTAACTTAATGCACCCCGCTGTGCAATTCGCGCTCCGCTACTCACCTGGTCGTCTGTGGTACGCGCATTGCAACTGTTATGTCCGCATCGATGCTTATGTTATAAGCAGACAAGTGCAGCCTAATGATCTGCTCATCTGTCCGATTTGCCTGACATTTGCCCAGCATGAACCATGCCTGGCTATTGTTGAAGTAACCCCCCGCGGAGGCCGCCTCGTAGACCCAGCGTTTAACGTGCTCGCCCTCGAATGCAGCCACAAGCACCGCAGTGCGTGGCGCCTCGTAGTAAAACAATTCTTGAAATTGCACGCCCCTTTGGGGCGTAAAAAACTGCATCCTGTAGTTGGCGAACAATCTCTTATAGTTTTCAATTTGCCTGGACCAGTTGGGGCCAGGTCCGGGTTCGGGTCCGAGCAGCAGCGCATGCTTCAAGTGTTGGGCACGCAAAAAGTCCTCGAAGGCGAGCAGCTCATTGGAATTTATGTTTTCAATTTGCGCGCCACATAAAAACGTTGCCGAAATTATAAAAATCCATAGAATTATTTTCACTTGCAACTTAATCATTTTATATGGCTCCACTTTCACTTGGCCGACTTGTTGTTGGTCAGCTGCAAGTCTGTTTGCCCCGCTGTGGCATCTTCTGTCCCCTTTTATGTGTCAGTCGAGTCATGCGAATTCCCGCTCGTGTATAATAATCATTTATAATTTATGCGTTCTGTCAGTTATGGTGCAGCGCCTTTTTATCATGCCATACACAGCGAGTTGCGGGGCTGACACGAAAATTGTGCGTTAACTGCAAATGGGAAACGACAGGATAATTACTTAAGCATATAAAGCAAAACGAATTGTGCAAAAATTGCAAATCCATTATGAATAAGAAAATATGACAATTATAGAATATATAAGCTATTGTCTTTGAGAGAGGTTAGATTGTTTTGCAAAAGGTTCAGAAGCTTTCAGTTTGCAAAACATTATATACATTACATAATGTAAGCGAAGATCCAGGACAAATTTATAAACAGTTTTATTCTGTTTTAGCAGGTCGCAGAAGCAGCTTAAAACAATATACAAATGAAAATAAAGCAAAAAAATACAATGTAGAGCCAGATCGTGAAATAATTATTTTTGAAATAATAAACAAAAGAAACGAATAGAAATCTTAGTGCTTGGTAAATCATGTTGGAACTTGAGTCAAACATCCTAGAACATTGTATTAATTATGCGGAAGAAAGAAATCGTCCGGCAAGTAATCCAACCTTTTATTTTTCCGTTCCTTAGGACTTGTAACTTTATGGAAAACTTAAGGACGAAACGGCGCATTAAACAACACTAAGCTGCCGGCACTATCGTGACAATATCCGACCTCAGCCAAAAAGCTAGAAGAAACGACAGCAGCGCGTGTTAACATCGAGGGAAATGAAGAACCTTCCTCAGTTACTAAAGGTCTTTGCCTGTACCTTAATGGGTCTGAGTGAGTGTGTGGGGCAAGACAAAAAACGCAGCAGGGCAAATTTGGTGAAAGTTAAAAGCAAATCCTAGAGCTTGCAACTTAATTTCATGGCATGCGGCTGCCGCGTTGCATGTAGCAACTTCATTCGCGCAATTTGCTTCACGAGAGCTTGCCACGTGCTGCACAAAAAGACGGAAAGCGAATGTGATAGAGAGAGACAGGGAAAGGCTGCCAAGAGGCAAAGGTTTTTGATAGCAACTACGAAATGAAAAAAATTGCATTTAATTTGCCGACATTTCGGTGAAAACATCTTTGTTTTCTTTTTTGTTTCATTCGTGTTGTTCTTTTAGGGGCGTGGCTGTGTGGTCGGCTTTGCCAGTAATGACAGAAATATTTGCTGCAAGGCCACAATGCAAATGCACAGCAACAACGCAGTCCTTACGACCATAGTTGTAGTCCTTTGTGGGCGGGAGCGGAAAGATGTTTGCATCAAATACGCGAGTTGCATGCGGAGCCAGCACAACAAGAATTTTTGCTATTAAAAAGGAGCCAGAACGCAGACTCACACAGTCACACACACGCACACACATGCTGGAAAGAGACACACATTGCGCATACGCCATGTATACGATAAAAGCGCAAGCGACGTTTAAACAATTCAGTTTAAATTTTGTTTGAACTGTGCTTTTCTTGTTGTCTTTTTGTTTTTTGTTTTTTTGCGTTATTTTCTTTTGACATTTTGTCACACATGTCAGATTCAACGTGCGCAAATTCGGCAAAACAAAATAAGTACAGCAGAAGTTTTCATTTAATTTTTTATGATAAATATACAATGTCATGCAGTGTGTTTACCAGCTTCCCCACCTTTGTGCAAAACTAGCCTGCAGCCACATTTTCCTTTCAGTGTCTGCCTTGGTAAGCTGCGCGCATTTTGACAGTTCACATGTGTTAATTCCCAAGCGAAAAACAACAAATTTTGTGTTTCCGGCCTTGTCCGATCATGGCATGAATTGTCTACATATTAAACATACCATCAATCACAAACGATTATTTATTAAAGTAATGCCAATTTAGCTTTTAGCGTGACATTTAAATATTTTCACAATGCTATATTTTTATCATTTTAAGAGGGTCCATAATACACAACAGTTCCCACGCACGGATTCATAACGCTGATTTTTTAACCAAAACAAATCATCTTCGCGGCAGATTGAAGAAGGCTTTTTGTAGTCATGGCAAAAGTACCAGGCCATAATAACAAGAACTTAATTGTTGAAAAATCTATTTTAATTAATTTCACAGTAGCGTACATCATTATGATAATATGTTTATTTTAGTTCATTTTTTTCCTCACAATCACTTTGGCATTTCGAGTGCCAGGATTTTAATTGTATAAAAAGGAAAAACAACAAATACAAGAAAACAGCAAAATCCCTTGCAGCTATGAATCTAAAAACAAAATGATTTAAGATGCCTGACGGTCGAGGACTTCTCTTTTCGCAACAGCGAAATATTCCGGAAAAATATTTAAATTACTTCAATAAAAACAAGTAGAGGTTCCAGTCGGGAGCTCCCGACTAGGGGATACCCTGAACCCACTTCTTTCAACATTAAATGTATATATATATTCTATTTTAGAAGCTATATGTCAAGTTTAGTGACTGTAGCTCTTATTATTTACCAAAATTGCCCAAAAAACAGGATATAGATATCGATTTTTATCGATTGCTTGGACGGAGTAAATATCGATTATCGGAAACAAACTCGATCTGCGCGAGAACTAGAAGCATCTACATGTAAAATTTCTCTAGCTCCTATAGGTTCTGAGATCCTTGCGTTCATACATACGTACGGACGGACGGACGGACGGACGAACAGACAGACGGACATGGCTAGATCGACTCGGCTTTTGGTGCTGATCAAGAATATATATACTTTATGGGGTCGGAGATGCTTCCTTCTGCCTGTTACATACATTTGGATTTTGCACAAATACAATATACCCTTATACCCATTTTTAATGGGTTCAGGGTATAAAAATCAACAAATGTTTCTAGGCACAAAACTAGGTTCACAAATGAAAAAAAAGGAAACTAGGTTCACAAATGAAAAAAAAGGAAAAATAATAAAAAAAGATCCTCAATTTAATTTCATATATTTCATCGTAATCACGTTCCTAGTATTATGTGTTAGTCTTAATTTTTCATTATTATTTAATGTTCTCGTGAACAATTTTCCATCTCGACAGCAGCGAAAAACAAATTCCCTCAGCAGTTGGGCTGCATTAAGTCAACTCATTATGAAATTACTGCTGGCAAAGGAAGAAAAAAACGTCGAGCAGTAAAGAAAATAGGTTGAAAAATCGCCATGACGATGATGGGCAGCACGAAAAGCCGGCAAAGAAAACAAATTAAATTTAATCGATTTGTGATTTGTCTGCCAGCCAGCGCAGACCGTCAACAACAACAATAGCAAGAACAACGGGAAACTAGAACTTGGCCAAGTCGCATCGTAAATTAATTGAAGTGCTGCGACGAGGTCCAGACAAACCAGCAGCAGCAATGGCCACTTGGCGTGCAGCTCTAAGCGCATTCTAAACAAATTAAAATTCAATTAAAAAGATGAAATGGCATTTCCAGGCTTAATACGCAGCATCAAAGCCAGGCAGCAACGAATACCCACAGCTGACTGGCCAACCCATCTTCAATATCCAGCGTTCTTGCTACGTTATACTGTCCTTCAAAACTATTAATAATTATTCGGAGTTCGGCTGTGAAATATCCACAAGCCAAGCATGAATATTACATGGATAAATAATGCTTAGAGGCAGAGCTCGAGTGCAGAAAATGTATACCAAACATCCGTATTATAGCTTCATACTTGTTTGTAATTATAATTGTAATTTAAACAAGTAAGAGGTTCTAGTCGGGAGCTTCCAACTAGGGGATAATCTGAACCCTCTTCTTCCAATATCAAATACATATATATATTATATTTTGTTCTATTCTATAAAACAGTTTCTTATATGATGCTTTATATTTTCAATTCGTTCAAATTATATTTCGGGGCAAGTAAAAAAAACAAATTATTTCTAATAAATTTTATTTTTTATAAATTTTTTAAAATAACCAAATAAAGCCTATTTTGAGTAATCTAAACCACATCTAACCTGATCTACATTTATAAGGAATTTATTATACCAGTTATTTGCTTGTAGCACAGTGCAGTGCATAAGGATTCACCCAATATATATAGAGCTTGCCAGCACGCAGATGCTGATGCTGATGTCTGGTTTGTTGGTGCTGCTGTTTAATCTCAGCTAAAAGGCATCGCATTCAATTCATTTAGCGACTACGCGTTATCACAGCCGTCAACCATCATCAGCGTCATCCTCGTTTGCCAGCGCATTGTCAGTGTCAGCAACAACAGCAACGCCAACAAAAGCAATCAGTTCCCTCGTTGTGTTGGGGATCGTGGTCGGGCAGGGAGGAGGTGTCATAATGCTTCACGCAACTTGAGACCTGAAGCATCATTTCCAATTACAAGCGCAGCCCACCGACATTATGCCGCTTATGATTTTTGGTCAGCCGTTTGGACTCGTCCATTTTTCCATTTCTGCCAGTTCCCTATTTTCCATTAGCCCCACCCAACTCGCCGCTAGTCATGGTCATTGATGTTGCCCTCATTATGAACATTGTTGGCCATTGTTCTCGCTGCCAGCCAACCGTCATTTTGTCTGCTGTCCTTCAAAGCAGCATTAAAATTTGGCAGCACTTTTCAGTTCGTTTCAAATTATGCGCCAGCTGGGCTGTTATTTTTTTTTTTTTTTTTGGTTTCTTCTCTTTTGATAGAATATTCAATAGTCAAATTTGTTTTAAAAGTGATCAAAAGGAATATAGTTTTATTCGTGATTAAGATTATAGACAGTGAAGTTGGGAAAATTGAAAAACTTATGAAAGTTGCTAGACGACTTGATGAATTTCATTTTATTTGATTTTAGTTTTTATCCTAACGGAATTGATTGCATTTGTTTTGTACAATTTTTATTTAAAGGAAGGCAAAGCTCTGAACTTGACAATTAACAAAAATGTGCCTTTTAAATTGCCAGTCCCATTTGAAGTCTGACCCTTTAGGATTTTTCTTTGAAATATATATTTTATTTTATTTTATTCACTTCACATTGAGCATGCTTGAAGCATGCTGTCGCTGTTGTTTAGTGGAACTCAAGCTGGCCAGAAACGAATTTCACCTATATTGGCGCTTGTGTTGTGGCTGAGTGAGTTTCAAATGTCCAAAGTTCAAGTAGATTCGGCGTCGAAGCATGAAATTGTCTGATGTTTCTGGAATTGCTTGCAAGTGCAGACTGCATACTGCATGACTTTAATTGGAGAAGGCAGTATATATTTTAATAGATAATATTTTTCAGCTACCTGGGTGGTCACTTAACTTCTAGACACTTCATTGTTGCCAATTGGCTGGGCTGCCACTTGGCACTTGCTCAGTTGAGCACTTGAAGCATCCGGCAATCATCTTTGTCCAATTAAAGTCCCTTCTCTGTAGTACTTGAGGCAATTAAAGGACTGAACAAAAGTCATGGCATGGTGTGGCGCCTGCTTAACCCGTTGCCACCGCCGCAGCCGACAATAAGGCAGCTCAATTTAAAATTTAACCCTTTTTGCTGGAAGCGGTGACCGCAACGCTTCCTGTCCCTGGCCAGTGCCTGGCCCTTGTTCAGCGCTGCAATGATGAAAAAATATTTTCTTTCCGGCGTCGGCAACGAAGCTGACGACAGCTCGGCAAATAATTTTTACAAATTATATACGCTCACATGCCAACTGAGCAAGCAAGGCAAATAATAAGGGCAACAGGATAGTGTAGTCGACTAAGAGATACTCTTTTTACAACTAAAGGGTCATCTGCATCAGTTGAGTATCTAAGATGATACATTTTGTAACGTTAAAAATGGTTTAAAATGATGGACTCTGAGATACCCTGTTACCGGAGCTAAGGTACTCTTTGTATATGAGAACTCTCTAACTTTAATTAATTTATTGTTTGTCCTACTATTATTTACTGCTTCCTTTTGCATACTTCTGTTACAGGGTATTTAATGATACAGTTATATTGAAAAGCTGAGAAAAACGAAGGAAAATTGTGTAAAATCAAGAAAATGACTGCAGAGAATCAAGCGTCAGCCTGAGCTGAGCAGCTGGTCAGCCAGCTGGGTTGGGTCCAGCGGTTAAGGATATGCGATGATTGTGTTTGTTGCTGCTCGAACTGAACCAATAATAAGTTCAAACAATGGCTGCCAAGCCAGTATGCAGCTAGCAGCTAGCAGCTCGAAGCGTCGGCCATGTTTGTTTAATTTTTGCTACCGCTGCGCCTTCATTTATTGTTATTGTTGTTGCTCAAATGGCGCTGCAATTGTTCCAATCGGCCGCCAACTGCTCGTTTCCGCTTTTGTTTTTGCAGTCAGCTTTTTCTTCTACTTGGCCGGCAAACAGGCTTCAAATTGAACGGAAGCCTGCCACGAGTTATGCTCTAGCCATGCCCAACCGAACAGCCAAGCCCGCCCTCGCCCCGCCCTATCGGCCTGGCCCATGCCCACTTGCAATCTCCGGCCGCGTCGGAGGCATTGTTCCATGTCCATGGCTAAGGCCCGTTTCAGCATCTTTTGTTGTTCGGGGGCAGCCGCCCTTTTGTCGCTGCGCTTCCGTTTTACGCTTTACGTTTTTTTTTTTTCATTCTACTTTTCAGCTACTTTTTTCTCCCTCTTTTTTTTACCGGTCCCGGGGCCGGACTTCATAGTTGTGCCCAATTTTTCCTGTGCTGCGCCGTTTGATTTGCGCTGATTTCTTCGCTCGCTTTCGGTGTGAGTGTCCTTTAAAGACTTCTGTTTTTTTTTGCTGTTCTGTTTTCAGTCCTTCACTCTTTTTTCTTCTTTTCTTTCGTTCAATTTTATTTTGTTAGTTTCCATTTCATTGAATTCTCACATATCCGCATCCGCAATCCAGCCAGCCTGGCAGCCAGCTAGTTGCTCAAATTGTGCCATTAACCGGCTTTGTCCTTGTTACCCATTTCCTAGCGCCCCAGCATTGTCCTTTCCGGCAACAAAAGGGTTTGCGCCGCTCCCCATGACCACCCGCCTCTCTGCACCATAAAATAAGCAATTTGCATAGTTTAGTTAGTTGGACGCATCCAGCGACAGCGACACTTGTGCTGTCCCGTTTCCTATTGGTAGCCGACCGACCTAAGCCTATATATCTATATATAAATATATACATACAAATGTATGTGTGTGCGTGTGTGTGTGCGAGCATAATTGATGACTGTTGACAACAGCTACAACAAAAAGAACAACAATGGACAACAAACAGTGTCGAATTTTAAATTATCTGCTTTCCTTCTATTTTATTTTTTGTTGTTGCTTGTGCGTATAAATTTTGTTTTGCATGCTTATTGCATATCATTCAATACGGCGGATTTTATAGAAATTACAAATGATTGGAGTTTTGCATCGGAGCAGCAGATTTGAGTGTAAAGGGATTTACGGCAGCGGATGGAGCTCCAAATTTAATAAGGTAAAGCTGAACACGCAAATAAGTCAAGGAATTTAATTAAAATGTGCTTGACAAGTGGAAAATATTTTGAAAGGATATTGAAGCGAAATATATTGGGATGTGTAGCAATCAGCTTATAATCAATAGGTTAGTAATTGTATAACATGAAATTTTTAAAAAATAAATAGGTAAATTAATTTTTTAATATAGGCGGACTAGATTTAAGTGTCAATAATTGAACTATTTTTTATGAGTAGCAATTTCCTAGAGTTAATCAGTCAGCACCTTCGCCTGAGACTTTCTACCATTAAATTTGGGCCTTTCCTTATATGTTTTCAATATAGTAGCGTGCTGTTCTTCCCCTTAAATTGCCACCTTAGACAACACGAGCTTGAAGTCATTTCTTGAGTGCCAAAAAAGTACTTTAAAAATTATTTGGGCGTGAACTGTGGCACCTGCCCAATGCTGCAGACCACAGACCGGGCTTTGGCAGCCGCGCAAAGGTCAATGCGAGCAGCCTGCCAACCATTTTCATAATCATTTAACGGTTGCTGCTACCCGCCAGCTGGCCAGATCCCTGGCACCCTCAATGGCCATTAAGTACATCGAAGAACGTTCGAAGCGGGCGAACACTCGAAATGTGACGACTCCGATGAGAACTTTGGCCTTTTGAGCGCGCCGAACAAACCGCACACTTGGCTCAACAAGGTGGCTGCAGGCACCTGGCTCTAATGATTGCTCCTGCCGCTGCTTCTGCTGCTTCTACTGGTGGCCGTGGTTGCTGCCCCTTGAGATGCAGCCGACCAGGAAATGCGGAAATGACGCACTTTGCCCAGCGGCAGCAATGTCAGCAACTTGCGAGTAAAGTTTTCAAAGCACTTGAGACAATTTTGCAACTTTCTTTTAAGAGTCCGGCAAGTGTCCAGTCGAGTTTGGCTGCTCTCGTGTGGAGTGTGGTGTAGCTGGTGTCTGGGGGAGCTTATCAAAGGAACGAGCTGCGCTAACGAGTGGCCGCTTATTGATTTTCCAATATGGCAGGTGCATAATTAGCAAACGCGCGTTGCCAGACCAGTGCCAAATCAATGGAGCGCATTAACCTAAAAATGACAAAAGGGAAAAGAGGGCGCGGGGCGTTAGGCGTTGGGTGCTGCTGCTGACATTATCATTTGACGTTAACTGACGATAAGCGCACCTTGATAATGGGGCCACGTTTCTGGCCAAATCGAAGAAATGAAGCTGCACTTAACGCCGACACTTTTGACAAGTGGCCCACAGCCCCACCGAGGTGGGCTGGGTCGGTTGTTGGCCATAGTTGAAAGCTGCTTAAATGTGCGAGCATTAAAGCCGCGTCACGTATTTGCCAGCCCCCGCCGCACCCCACATAGCTTCCGTTGCCCTGCAAAATGCGCTTTATTTTTGGAGCAGAGTTTTGCTCCGACTTCCGCCTGCCGTCTCCAGCTCCGCCTCAATTTTGTGCTCCTTTCTCTTTTTCTATTTTCTTCTTTTTTTACAACAAATTGGATTTGCGAAAAAATCGCTCACCTTTCATTTCAGGCGGATTAATGGTGTCGAGGCGAACAGCGCACAATAAAAACACCAGGCTGGTTCGACGAGCACGGTAAAGTGTGGCAAAGGGGGGCTACCAGCAGACAGCGGGCGGTCCTGGCGAGTGCCTTTTTATGGCAGTAGTGGCTGGCTGGGATTCGGGCGCACGCTTTGGCCCCGAGCTGTCAGTTTGGACACTTGTAATGCGATGAATAAATGAAGTGGTTGAAGTAATTGAAATGCGATTAAGCCCAAATACATTTCCATAAGTACATACATACTTTTCCTGCTCATCAATTAGATCACATTTGCATATGACATGATTTACGGAAGAAAGGACCAAAATATTTGGAGATTTCAGCTAGGAAAATTTGCATATCGTGTGAGTTTTAGAAGAAAATTGTATGATAACAAGAGCTAATTGATTGCTAATTTCGAATACTTCAAATAGGATTTATTTTGGGGTGTTTCATTAGTTCTTGGGTGCTGACGTGGCTTTTTGCTGATGCTATTAGAGATAGCTTCCATAGCATAGGCTTCCGCAAGAACTATCCAAACTCATGCTCAAGCCTGAGCTCAAGCTTGTCAACAGCAAATTTGGTCTAAATGTTTATCAAAACTCTCAAACCCGATTTACTTTAATCATCTATTTAAAAAGTCTCTCTCTTTTTACTTAAAGTCAGCTCCCTGAATATTCGCTCCAATCAGTTGGCAATGCATTTAATGTTTCCCGCACCATAAACCCAAACAAAGAAAATGGTGCCAAGTCGCAGACAATTGCACAAAGAGGAAAAACACGCAGAGAACTGTGTTCCATTTCATTTCATTCCTCAAATTCAATAACATAATTGTTGTCATTTATGCTGCCTGCATTATTTACTCGCATTACATTCTAGACACATATCTGATTTCGGTTGGTGGCGAGAAATGGAGAAGAAACTGTGCCCTGTACAATGCCGCATTTTATGCTTATATGTATCAGTGCAATCCAATAATGGCAAGGCATACACGCCAGCCACGCCCACACGGCGCCTACAGTCATTGTTGTCAGCATTATTTGCATATTCTGCGTAAAATTTAATTCCTTTCATTTTAATGCATGCTCAAAAGAAATCCACTAAGGCTCTTTGCAAAAAAAAAGAATCCAAAAATAAACTTTAGAAAAACCAAAAAGTAAAGAAAGTCAGAAAGCACAAGGAAAAAGATTTTGCAAAGCGATTCCTAAATACAGTTACTAAAAAATTGCTGTAGTTAATATTAATTTATTATGCAGCTTGTTCAGACGTTTAGATGGATGCTTTATATAACTCAATATTTTTAATATAGCACTAATTTTCATGCACAATAGAACTTTTGATAGTTCAACTAATTCTTATCGTTAAGTAGGATGTTACATGGACTATGAAAAGATTATGCCACTCTTCTCTAGGGCATACAAATAGCAAAAGCTATGACAAAATTTTGAATCGGGTCTTCGCTTACAAACAAATTTGCCTTTCATTGTGTGAGTGCGTGTAGGGTGAGTATGTGTATTATGCGGTCGTATTGAAGGAAAAAATTTAGCACCGCCCTCGCCCACGCCCAGCACACCAGATATACCCTTTTTGTGCCACTTTCTG